GCATAGTCAATAAAACATATTTAAAAAAAGAAGTTGTTTATTTTCTATTTGCCCAGTGTGTGCCAACAGTGAGGAAATGGTTTCCGGATGCAGACGCCGTGTATGTGTTCCCGTGGGCGCAGCACTGTGCTCTCGAGTTGAGATTCGTGGGTGTAGAGTGTGAGGAGTTTGGGGCTAAGGGCTTGGTGGTGGTGGTGGGAGTGTGTTTCTGTCGGAGGGACCTTGTCTGGGCCGTTTCACTGACACTGAGTAGCAAGCGTGTGTCTCCACTCAGTGCATATACACACCAATGAGATGCGGTGACCATCAGTGGCAGACTGTGTGAAGGATTGTCCCTCGCCCCTGCCCATTGGTGTATCCCTGCACTAGGGACACTGGGATCTCTGTGGGTTCTCTTTGATGCTGGCTGTGTGCTGTGGCCCAGTGGGACCTGTGTTCCTGTCCCAGGGTCTGCCTCCCTATCCGGGTTTCCTTGCTGTCCCACGTCACCACCTGTGGGGTCTGCTCGTGGCCCCACTGGGCAGGCAGACCTCTAGGTGACTGCATCCAGACAGCTGCACTTACCACGTCTCCATCCCTGAGGCCCAGCCCTTGCACAGCTGTGGGTGGGGGAGGGTCCATGCCCTTGAGGTCAAAGAGGCCCTCTGGGAAGTCAGCGGCTGGAGATTAGATTTCATGTGGTCAGGGAAGGACAGGAGGGAGCAGGATCCAGGTCTGGTCTGGGGCAGTGCCAGGCTGAGGCCCCGGGGCTCAAAGTCATCACAGGGAGAGTCACCGTAGCTCCTATTTATTGACCACCTACCATGTGGTGGGCACTACGCTTCACGCTTTATATGTTTATAGGTATGTTGTTGTCTTACTCAATGTTACACACTAAGTATTCATGTTACATTTGTAAATAACAAGTATGTGAGGTATTCACGTTTATGAATATTTCATTATATTAGTTATAAAGTGCTTTCTAACATAAAGTGATTTTATATTATTAATATTCCACTTCTAATATTGTGTTCTATTATCCCTTTAGAAAGTAGAAGGAAACTAAAGCTCAGAGAGGTGAGTTTACTTGCCCAAGGTCACAGCAAGCAAGGTCATGGCAAGGTGACAGAGTCCAAATTGAACCCATGTTCAAGTTACCAGCCTTTTGCTCTTAGTCACTGCATTCCCTCAATGCTAAGGGCTTTCATGATAATGACCATGGCGCGTGGCCCTATGACATTTAGCGAGGGCGCTGCTGTAAGTGTTCTCACGCGGACCGCCCCTCCGACTCCTGACCCCAGCACTCTGAGGCGGGCACCACCACTGTCTCCACGAGGCCCAGAGGTGGAGGCATGTGTGGAAGCTCAGGGAGGAGCTGGGATCTGGTGCCAGGCTGACCCTTGCACCCTCGAATGCTCTGTTATCTCTTACAATCTTCACAACAATCCTATAGCACAGGAAGAAATGGCACCCACTTTACAGATGAGGAAATTGAGGCCCAGACTTGACTCACCACAGAACCACAGAAGTGAACTACTGTCTCTCTGAACAGCTCATCCTTCTGACCCTGTTCGTGTCTGGCAGGAGACCAGGGACGCCAAAAAGTCTCTGCAGGGCCTTGGCCAGGCCCCTGTCCCACCCCGTCCCACAAGCCCAGGGCCCTGTCCCACCGAGATTTCAGGCCCTGCCCCTTGCCCTCCTGCTTCTTAATGTTTATGTCCATTCTGCCTCCTGATTGGTAAGCACTCACTGTATGTTACAAGGATTTCCTGATCTCCCCTAGATTAGGTGTTCATTTGGGTTATTAGGTTGGTTTTTGCTATACAAATGTTTTAAAGTTTTATACACTTCAATTGATCCAATTTATTTTACAGATCAAGATTTCCAACCTCATGGAACACCTAGCTCCTAGGAAGTGGCAGTAGGGGTGGCAGCCTCCTCCCCCTCCCTCCCAACCTCCCAGGCTCGTCCTACTGGGGGTTGGGGGCCTTTGGCACCTTCCTGTCTGTTTTTACAGCTCTTTTCTCCCAGCCTTTGCACTTGGCCCTGCAATGGCTTTGAGTGGTTCACCAACAGGCCATCTCACACCTCACAGATGCTGGTTTGGGTCTTTGTTGGGAAGCTCTCCCACTCTGGGAGGAGGGAGGGCCTCCTGGCTCTCCTCCTGCCCCCTCCCCCCTCCAGGGCCTCTCCCTCCTTATCTCCAGCTTCTCCTTTCCCGAGGTCTTGTGACCTGCCAGCCCGAAGGCCGGTGCCCCTCCTCTTCCCTCCTTCAACCTCTCCTTGTACTGAAAGGGGGCTGGGGGAGAGGAGCGCTCCTTCCCTTGATAATTTTTGAGAGTTCTTCCCACCTGTGCCCGTTAACCCTGCTACCCTGTCTGTTGCCAGGCACTGGTCCACAAGTCCAGTTTATTGACTTCCTTTATACTGCTGTTTGCCACATAAAATCTTAAGCTGCTACTTTCATACAGATACGTCCATCTTGTATTTCTGGGTTGTGGGTTTGAGACCTTGGTTAGGGAGGTCTCTGGGCTCCTGGGGGAGGAATACCCTCCCTCCCCTTCGCTCTCCCCTCCCCTCCCCTCCTCTCCCGAAATCCTAATCTCACAGCTTCTCCCTTCCCACGGGGTTAAGAGAATAAAAGCCCACAGGGGACGCAGGGGACGCGCCACGCTGTGTCACCATGTCCTCGCTGTGCCCACTGCTGCTGGTCCTCGCCCTCGTGGCCGTCCCCCGTGTGCGAGGCGCCTGCCCCGCGCCTGCCGACCTCAAGAACGCCGACGGGACCAAGATATGCGCCAAGCTCTATGACAAGAGCGACCCTTACTACGAGAACTGCTGCGCAGGCGCCGAGCTGGCCATAAAGCCGGACACCGACCTCCCCTTCTTGCCTTCTAACTGGAGGAACGTCATCTCCTCGCTCGTGGTGGCCCCACGTTGCCAGATCACCGTGTGGTCCCGCAGCGGCAAGAAGGGCAAGACTCGCAAGTTCTCTGCCGGCGCCTACCCGCGCCTGGAGGAGTACCGCCGGGGCATCTTTGGCCACTGGTCCAACGCCATCTCCTCCATCTACTGCAGGTGCGGCGCTGCCCTGCCCTGACCTGGTGCGCACCTCGGCATCCAGAGCTCTGAACCCGGCACCCAGGCCCAGGCCCACCCCCACCACCTGGCCAACGGGCTTTTCCAGACCCCGGAGCCCCTGACCCAAATTGGGCGTCTCTAGACCCAGTCCTGGAGGTCTCCCTTCTCACTGGCACACGCTCCGTGAAGCACATGCCTCTTGGATCTCTCAGACCCTGTTCTGCTGGTGTTCCCAGACTCAGAGCTCACCCAGCACCCCCTCCATTCAGGGAGCAACCCCCTCCAACCTCCCTGAACCCCCCAGCTGCCTACCCACCACACCTGCACTCTCCAGGGGAGGCCACTCAGCCTGCAGTTACCAAACCTAGCTTGGGAATGGGGAGCCATCAACACCCTCACCCTGCAGCCCCCAGAACCAAAGCCAGCACCCTCCTCCCCAAATCATCAGGTCCCAGAGCTTCCCAGGGTCTCCCAGACTCTCAATCTGACCCAGACCTCAAGACCCCAGACCCAATACCAGGAACACGGTACCCAGCCCTTATGCTCCCCACCCACCTGGACCTTCTGGGACACCTTCAACCCCAGAACCCAGTGCCAGAGCCTCTGGTAAGGTTTTGGTGCCAAATACCTAATTTGGAGAGTCCCCTTCCCCAGCCCACGCTGCACTCATGTACCCAGACTCACAGACTCTGGGACACTAATCTAGCCATAGCACCCTCACAACCACCCCATCTGCCTCACTACCCCAGGAGCTCCAGGAGCTCCCAGGCCAGGACACTCAGCTCTTGAGGTTGGAGCCCAGCCCCAGCTGCCCACCTCATCTCAGGCTTTTAGAACCTGCCACGCCCTGCATCCTTGGAGTCCCTGGCACTTCCTGGTGATAGTTTTTGTGGTTTTTTTTTCATTCTGTTGCAGGTGTTCCTGATGCCTGAGCAGATCCTCATCTCCAGCCCCCACAGGCTGCTGAGCCCCTCACCTGGACTTGGTCCTGGGGCCTGCTGATGGTCCCAGCCCCAAACAGAGAGAGCTTCCCGCCTGTGCCCCGACCCTGCCTTCCCTGCAATACAGCCCTGATGAAGTTGTCCCTGTCGGCCCTCTGCTTGTGTTTGCGACCCAAGTCCACACAGACAGGGGTGGGATGGGAGACAGCAGGGTGGTCATGCTGGGAGCAGCCCATACCTGTGGCAGTGCTATGCAGGGGGACACACCCAGGAACCCCGACACGGATTGAGGCGTGCACAAAGGCGCAGCCGCAGGACACACGTGTGCATGCAGCGGTGCCGCTGGGCAAGAGTTAAACGCTGCTATGCTTCCCACACTGTTCGGGAGACAGCCCTTCCCTGAGTGTCCCCCAGCTGTCTGGCCTGTTTGGACCTCCAGACTCAGGATTCACACGGAAGACACCGGGCGGCCTTCAAGGACCTGCCGCAGCCTGGGGCCCGGGTCTGCTGTTGGATTTGGCCAGAGCCGGGGCCTCTTGGGTTGTTAGATATTCTCGACCCTCTTCTTCCTAACACATGGAAGACAGTTTAGTTCAAATCTCCATATTTCTGCAAATTTGAATTTGCAACCTATTCCTACCCCCATCCCCAGGGTTAAGGGCCCTTGACGAGTACCTGGGTCTGGGGGGCCTTAAAAGAGGCCAAAGGAAAGGCATGAAGTCTCGGGGGAAGGAAAGGAATGGGGACAGCTCTGGGGGGGTAACTCCGGTTTGGAGGCAGAAATTTGGGAAGATTCTGAGAGTTAAGAAATCCAGGGAAAGGGGTGATGGAGATGCTAAGAGACCATAAATTGGGGATATGTGGCAAGACCGGAGGTCAAGGGGGGTCCAGAAGGGGGAGGGGTTGGGAGGTGCTGGAGGGTCACCGATCAGAGGATGTGGGAAGGGGCAGGAACTCAGCACAGATCTCAGGAGCAAAGATTGTGGACACACTCAGCACCCTTGGCCACACGTATTTATTCATTCAGTCAACAAGCACTTACTGAGCACCTCCTATCTGTCAGGCACTGACTCAGGGAGAAGGGGCTCTGCCCTCGTGGATCCAGAGAGTGCAGGGGAAATGCTAGAGTCGGACATTCAGGGATGTGTGAAGATGTGGAATGAGAAGCCGAGGACCCAGCAGGACCCAGGGAGGGGCCCAGGAGGCCGTACACGATCAGGGAGAAACTGTGGAGTCCGGAGTCCCGAAGGTGTTAAGGGATCGGGGTGGTCCTGAGCGTCAGGGAGGTGCTAAGGGTCAGGGAGCTGTCGGGGTGGGCGGATGAGAGGAGGAAGGGGTCCGAGCAGGCCTGGAGCCAGCCCGTCACTCCCTGAACTGCACGGACACAGAGGAGTCAGTCACCCTCGTCCGGCGCAGCCCACCAGGCTCCAGCCGGTTCTTCGCCTTGTGCAGGAAGTGGACGAAGCGCACGCCAGGGCCGTACTGGCGGAACACGTGGGACACCTGTGGCAGCACCGGGTCAGGAAGAAGTCCTCGCCAGGGACCCACGGACCCGGCTGTCCTCCCCCCTCCCGCTGTGAGGTCGCGGGACCGGTCTGGGTGGCAGCAGGGCAGGGAGTCTCACCTGGACCCAGCAGCTGGGGCGGCCTTTCCCAGAGGTCCGAGGGGCCACGTGGTGCTGGGCGATGGTGGTGTGGCGGTCCGCGGCCAGCAGCCAGACGTGCAGCTCATAGACACACGTGTCCAGCCGGCTGTCCTCAAACCTGGGGGCGGGGTCCAGGCCTTCAGCCACCAGCGCAGCCCCGACATCCCAACCCCAACCTCTGGCCCCAAGCCCCGTTTAAGACCCTCACTGACACCCACCCTGTGCGCCCAGGCTGGGTGGTGCTGGCGACACAGCAGGGACCAAGACGGCCCCACGCCCTGCCCTCGTGAGATTCACACAGTTCAGTGGGGGCGGCAGGCCAGACCCGTCACCAGGCAGTGACAAGCAAGAGTGGCCAGGACAGGGTGGGGCCTGGCCAGGAGAGGCTTCCTGGGGGCGCTGTGTTAACCTGACTCCTAAAGGGTAAGGAGGGTAAGGAGGCGTTAGACAGACAGGCACCCGTGGAGGAACCAGCAGCCTCGGGCCTGGCACATTTCAAAACCTGAAAGTGAGCCCTGGCTCGTGTAGCTCAGTGGATTGAGTGCGGGCCTGCGAACCAGACAATTGCGGTTTGATTCCCAGTCAGGGCACATGCAGACCAGTTCCCTGCAGGCCAGTTCCCAGCAGGGGACACACGAAAGGCAACCATACATTGATGTTTCTCTCCCTCTCTCCTTCCCTTCCCCTCTAAAGATAAATAAATAAAATCTTAAAAAAAAAAAAAAAACACCTGAAAGTGTCAGACAGAAGGGGCCGCGGGCAGGGCTGGATCCTGCAGGGGCAGGAGGGTCCTGGTGGGGAGCTCAGGCCAAAGTGGGGAGGGGGCAAGGCCTGCACTTTGGGGAGCCCCTGAGTGCAGCCTGGCGGGCAGAGGCACGCACCAGTCCATGACCGTGATGTCCGGCTGCTCATCATCAAGCAGCTCCTCCCACAAGCCTTCTGCCAAGAGGTCCACACACTGCTGCTTCACCGTCCAGCTGTGAGAGAGGGCGCAGGGGGGTGGGCTCTGGGATCGGCTGGCATTCGCCGGCCCAGCTGGGCCTGACCCCGGGGAGCAGGAAGCCCTGGGGGTGCTCGCTGAGTGTCTACTCAGCACCCGACAGTCTCCGTGTTAGAGATGGGGAAGCCAAGGCTCGATGGGGGACAGGACCTAACGAGGGCCCCACGGCAAGGAAGGCTGGGGGAGGGAGTGAAGCGCAGGCCACCGGGTCCCGGCCACTCACCTACGGTTGTGCTGCAGCTTCTCGGTGCTGATGCGCCACCCGTGGAAGTTGCCTGCCAGGTGGAGGAGTGAAGGGTGAGAAGGTGCCTGGTCCCCGACGGGCCCTCCCCTGGGGCCCGGCCGGCGAGCACTCACCCAGAGCCTCCAGGGGCTGCTGTGTGGGACCAGTAGGGGGTGCTGGCTCATAAATGTTGATGCCTGGAATGAGTAGGAGACGGAGCCTCAGGCCCAGTGGGACCGGCCGGCTCCACTCTCCAGCCAGGGCCCCCTGCCCCCAGGGCTTCTCCAGCAGGTCAGGAGGCTGTGCCCCACCCGCCAAGCCAGATCGGCCAGGCAGGGATGAGAGTGAGTCGGGGCTCAGGGAGAGCCCCGAGAAGGTCCTGGGGGAGAGGGACGCTGTGCATTCTGGTGAGACAGACAGAGGGACAGAGAGGCACCAAGAAGAACAGACGTGGAATATAGGCAGAGGGAGGGAAAGAGAGAGGGCAGGAGGGAAGGAGTGATTCAGGCTGACAGAGAGACTCGGAGAGAGAGAGACAGGGGCAAGGTGGACAGAGAGTCGAGGGGACGGAGAGAGGCGCGGATGACGAGAACAGCAACAGATGCAGAAGGACAGGGAAACAGACATAAAGAAGAGACAGAGGTCTGGGTAAGTGACTCCGGGGGAAGAAGCTACGGCGGGTGACAGCCGTCTCTTCCAGCTCCGCCGGCCCGCGCCCAGGGCGCACCTTCGGGGTTGGGCGAGCGCAGCAGGTTGCGGTAGAGCGGCCGCCGCAGGAAGAGCAGCTTCCAGGTGAGGCCCGGCGGCAGCTGCAGGCTCCCGCCCGGCGGCCCCCACTCCTCCAGCAGCAGCTGCCGCGCGTAGGCCTCGGACGGCTGCTCCGCTGGGGACAGCGCGGGGCTCCCCGGGGCCACGGGCGACAGCCGCGTCGGCGGTGGAGGCGGTGACGGTGGCGACTGGGGGCTCGCGGGCTCCTCGGCCTCCATCCCGCCACGGAGCTCGCGTGTGTCCTGCGCCTCCTCCATCGGTCGGGTCTGGGAGACTGTCCCTGCTCCTCCGCGGGGCAGGTGTTAACTGGGGCAGGTGGGGGTGGGGCTCTCCGGGTGGCATGTAAGAGAGGGGTGTGTCGGGGGAAGGATCTCGGCTCCCAGCCCCTCCTCCCCGGGACCCAGGAGTCCGGGGCCCCCAGCCGCGGTCCCTCAAACCCAGTGTCCAGGCTCCCAGCCCCTCCTTGTCTCAGAAGGCAGCGGGCCAGGTCCCAGGCCCTCCTCAGCCTCCCACATCTCCTGTTCCAATCTCTGGGGGCCACCAGAGACCCGAACTGGCCCTGGGATTGGGGCTGGACAAATGGGCGAGGGCCTGGGCTCCTTGCACTCTGATGAGACCCATCTGCCTCATTAAGATCCGGCATGGCAGGAGGTTAATTAGTGAAGACCCCTTCTTTCTGCCCCCCTCTCAGAAAAGGGTGGGGATGGAGGGGGAATCCTGCTTCTGCTTTCTCTTCTGCCCTCACCTGGAACACACCCTTGGGGACCCTGACATTTCCTGTTCAGGAAACGAAGGTGGGGGTGGAGGGCAGAAAGAGACCCGGGCTCAGAGATGGGGAGTCACCAGAACGGGCTCCCCCGGGAGACACTGGGTGGCAGAGAGGGGAGCGGCAGCCCCACCTGGGTTTTCAGGGAGCCTGCACCCCTTCCTGGGGCTGGGCCAGCCACACAGGCCGCCAAAGCCTCCTCCCTCAGAGTTCACAGGAAGTTTGGGGTGAGGAATGGGGCGATGGTGGGGGCAGGAGGTTAGGTGAGGAGGAAGTGGGGTGACAGAGAAACCTGTAGGGCCAGATGCCCACGGCCACATCCTGCCCAGGCCACATCCCACCGCAGGTAAGCGCAGGCGGAGGCGCACGGGGGGGACCAGCACCAGCGAGTGCTTGCTGCTTGCTGGGCGCTGGTCTAAGCGCTTACGAGTTCACTTCATCCTCTAAGACCACCGGAGGGAGACGCCACTATTATAGAGGAAAGGCAACAGCAGCCCCGTGTGTGTGTGTGTGTGTGTGTGTGTCTGTCTGTCTGTCTGTCTGTCTGCCAAGGATGCCTTTCAGCCCCCACCTCACCTGTGCACCAACCCTCTGTGGGGCGCTGTGGTCATCCCCACTCCACAGCTGGGGAAACTGAGGTCACGCTCACAGGCTCGGTCCCTTGCTGCCCCATTAACCACATGCTTCCACAGGCGCTTCCGGCCCCAGCGCTGAGAAGAGACACGCCCTGCAGACACTGGGACTGCAGCTCACCTTGGGACAGGCGCCCGGGCCGCTGAGGGCCGGCTGTGTGTCAGGTGTGGCAGGCATGGGTCTAAACTCTTTAGATGAGGTAATGAATTCGTTCTCCACATCCTCCCTGGGAAAAAGAGTCCATTGTTAAGCCCCTTTTGCAGATGAGGAAACTGAGGCACCGTGGTGAGGTCTAATAACTCACGCAAGGTTGCTCAGCCAGTTTGTGTTGAGTTGTCAAGTAGGATACACAGAGCCTCAGATGAGATACACAGGGACACAGATTCAAACGGCTCCCGGGGAGAAAGGCTCACACAGAAGCAGACAGGAGATAATGGCCATATTTGTTGTCTGTCTTAAACTCACTGAACTTCTCAACAACCCCAGGAGACAGAAACTGATATTAGAACCTCCATTCACAGATCAGAGGCAGAGAGGTGACGTGACCTGTCCTGGGAAAGTTGGGGATTAGCCAGGGTCCCGGAGGGCAGGGAGGACCCACGGGAGGGGCAAACCAGCTAATGCACACCAGAGCCTTGCCCCGCCACACCTGGCGGTACCACAGGAGTCCTGGACCAGCACTCGCAGAGCCATGACAACCTGAACAACTAGAGACGCTCAGGGCCCACACGGGCATCTGGCAGCCTGCCTGCCTGTGTTCACTGGAGGAGGAGGAGGAGGGAGGAAGAGGAGGAGGAGGAGGAGGAGGGAGGGAGGGGCAGAGCCAGAACAGGAGTGTGGTGAGTGGAGTCAGAGCTGCCCTGGTTGGAATCCAGAGCAGGGCGTGGCCAGGAGCCAGACGCCTAGAAAGAGCCACCGGGAGGGTCTGCAGAGTGGAAACCAACATCCCTCCTCCACCTGCCCCCTGCCTGCCTGGGTTTCTGCCTCGTCCCCTCCCTGAGGGTGGTTACACACCCACACAGCGGCAGCCAGGGGCGTCCCACGGAAGCCTCACCCAACCGCTCACCCCCCACTTAAACGCACCGAGGCTCCCCGGTGTCCTCAGCAAGTGCCAGATCCCGGGCTGGCGTCTGAGGACCTGGATTCCTGGCCCCTGCCTCCGTGGCCCCTGCATCTGTGGCCTGGCCTCTCCGGCGACGCCCGTTCCGCCTGGCGTGCCTTCCCCCCCACAGCCCCGTGCTCAGAGGCCCCCAAACCTCTAAAACGTGCATTTTCCAGCCCTCTTCCCTGGAGTCAGATTCAGTCCCTCTGCCCCCCACAATCTAAAATGTAGGGCACATGGCACCCCCATGTTTCTGTGAGAAACATTTTTACCCAAATCTGGGGGATCCAGGAAAAGAACCGGGGGGCCCTGCAGAGCCCAGTGGCTCTCAGCGTCAGGTCTCCAAGGGCCCTTTTCCAAAGATGCTGAGGTCGGGTCGGCCAGCCTGGTGCCCCCCCCCCGCCCGGCCCCCCATCCCCTCCACGTGTGGTGGGTGGTGAGAACACGGGGGTGCTGCAGCCGCTGTGGGGAGCAACTGGACAATTTCTTATAAAACTGACCGTCCGCAGACAACCGGGCGGCCCCCCTCCTAGGGTTGAGCCTCCAGAAACGAAAGGGTGTGTCCCCACAAAGACCCCCACACACTTTTTCAAGACACAGCCGACCCTTGAACAACGCAGGTTTGAACTGCAGGGGTCACTTATAGGCAGGTTTTCTTCCGTCAGTACTGGACATGTATTTTCTCTTCCTTATGATTTTCGCAATAGCATGGTCTTTTCTCTAGTTTACTTTACTGTGATGTTGCAGCATACATCACGTATGTCACACACAACACGTGTTAATCGAATGTTTGTGTTATTAGTAAAGCTTCCAGTCAACAGTGGGCTACGAGCCGTTCAGTTTGGGGGGAGTCAAAGGTTACATGTGGATTTTTGACTGTGAGGGGGCAGGAGCGCCCCTCACCCCACATTATTCAAGGGTCAACGGTGGCTTCAAGTCAGAACAACACGCGTGTCCATCAGCAGGTGAACGGATAAGGCGGCTGGCCCCCACCCATGCCACGGAGCACCCTGAGCGAGGAGAGAGCAGAGCCATCGGAGCAACGAAAACCGCCATGTGGGGTGACAAGGGCCAGGGAGAAAAGGAGCGTGGACTGTGTGATTCCATTTCTGTCAAAATCTGGAAAAGGCAGCTGATTCGCCTGGAGCGGGAAGAGCAGGTGGAGGGCAGCCCGGGCTGGGGGGTGGGCTGCAGAGACGCACGACCGTGGCCTTCCCGGGGTGGGGGGAGCTCCTGCCTCTGTTGGGGTGGCTGGTCCGCGGGGGTAGACACTCGCTGAGACCCCGCAGCCTATCCACTTAGCACGGGTGCTTTCCGTGGTAGGTGAGTTACACCTCAGTGAGAAACAAAACTAAAAGACTGCAGCTACTGTCTACATGCCGAAAAGAAAACATCTACAAGTCTATTAAGTGAATAAAAGCTAGATGCAGAACAGCGGGCCTTACCTGCTACCAAGATATTTGGCAGGCTCCTCCGCAAGGAGGCCCAAGGGAGCCTCGGGGCAGAGGTGGGCGGTGGCCCGGGCGCATGCGCGGGAAAGAGACTTTTCAGTCCCTGTGCTTTGCGCCTTTTGGACTTTGTACCATTCATGTGTATTATCTCTTCTAAGAACATATAATGATTTTTATAAAGGAAACACGAATCCGGAGCTTCTTATTACCCTTCCTACCTCTTATTCTTCCAACCAATACTTGTTAAGCATCCACGGGGGTGGGATGGCCTCCAGTCAACAATTAACTACTTGATGTACGAGTAGTTAATAGGACTAAGTGTGTCTGAGGTGAAGAACAGGCCACGGAGACAGAGAAGAGAAACTCGTGGGAAGCCTCTTTTAATGGGTGGCCATGGAGGGCTTCTCGGAGGAGATGACATTTGAACAGAGACCTGAAAAAGGCCAAAGGAGCTAGTTGTGCAAAGGGCTGGGGGAGGAGCATGTCCAGGCAGAGGGGACAGCAAGTGCAAAGGCCCTGAGGCAGGACCGAGCTTGGTGTGTTGGGCGTACAGCAGGGAGGCCAGTGCACCTGGAGAGGAGGGAAGGAAGGGAGCTGATGCCGGAGAGTGGACTGGAGCACCGCTGCGCTGCGGGATTTTTCTAAGGGTAATAATTCCTAGGTGAACTGTGGGGAAGGTTTCAGTTGGGGAGTGAGGAGATACAACTGATCTCTGACTGAGTGAGGGCAGGGAGGGTGTAGGGATACAGTGAGGAGGCAGATGAGGGGTGGACAGGACCAGGGTGAGACCCGGAAGTGGCTGGCAGAGGACAGATTCAAGACTTATTCTGAAGACAGAGTAGAAAGACTTGAGGATTTGAAGGGGCACCATTTACTCCAAGGGAAGGCAGAGGCCAGGACCAGCGGGCAAGGGCAGGAAATCCAGCATTCCGTTGCAGATGAGTTAACTCCGGCACATCCAGAGGGGCAATGCCAGGGGGTGGGTGCCCACAGGGGTCTGGAAGCACCCCCACGTGGACAGCCGAGTAGCGGGAGGGGGAATAAAATCAACAACATGGGCATACCTCAGAGCATCTGCAGGTTCCATTTCAAACCACCACAACAAAGTGAGCATCATAATACACTGAGCCTCGATTTTTTTTTTTAACCAGTGGAGGGTCTTGCCTTCAATTTATAAAAACAACATCTGTAAAGCACCTAACAGCAAAGTGCAATGAAACACGGTGTGCCCGTGACAGCGATCATGGAATGCTTCGTGTGTGCTGGCACTGCTATATCCGCTCTGGGGGTGTGGACCTAAACTCACTTTACAGATGAGGAAACCAAGGCACAGAGAAGTGGGGTGACTTGCTCAAGGTCACACAGCCAGGAAGTGACAG